CAAGGGATTAATTGGAACTAGTGCTGTTTTGATGCAGCTATAATACTTCAGCGATTATTGTTCTCATGCAACCGTTGCAGCAGTTCTCTCATAACTCTTTCATCGTAATCATTAATTCGTTTGCGTTTCAGTCGCCCGACAACGCTTACTTCTTCAGCACTCTTCACATTTCTTCTCGGGATATTCCTTCAATTAGACTCGGATTAGAGTTACTACTAAAGCTATCATCGTTTTGTATATGCATTTATCGTTATTACCGTGATTGCGCTTGTCACGAAAGTATTTCATTACGTTAACGGATCACTCTCTTAATGAAACTCGCTCCGTTGAATAGGATACGAGTCACAACATATAAAAAAGCAACACAACTGAAAGATTGAAACTGAATCGAAACCACAAAAATTAATGGATAGTATCAAATGATTAAACGCATTCACTCATCAAAGTATTTTTAGGTACAGCATCTTTTGAAATGATCTCTTAATGCAAAAGCGAAACCGATTAATACGAAACTAAAAGGATATTTTCGTAGAAATACAAACTTTTTCAGAGCGAACTCCCACGAGCCATTCGAATCGTATACATCGTACAAAATGGATGCTACCGCTGTTAACGTCAATAACTTCGTGCCTGATTTCCATCTGCAGTTATTTCAACTCATACTTTTGAATAATTAATGCATTCGCTCACTCAAGTAAAGTGTACAATTGCAGAGATTAGTATTCGTTGAGGAGAGTAATCGCAGCTTTTTAGACAGGGAAGGCGACTCGCCAGGGAACAAAATGAACAAGAGGAAACTGGAACAAAAAAGTCCCGGTGCGAGTTACCCGTGAAGATGGGGGAATACTCCCGGTGGGGAGGTATCCATACGGAGGGGAAACCCGACCAAGGTTTAAGGGAGCAAAACTGTCGAGGAGTTATCGCGAAACGGGGTTCGAAATTTCCGAGAACCGTCATAAATCACTCCAAATGAATCTTCCGGTGACGAATGCTTGGAATACAAACGAAATGAAGCGCATCGAGTTGTTAACGAAAAACAAACTTGATATATCTGTCCAAGGGAAGTTTACGTGCGACAACATTCGCTTGTTTCGCGGCTAATAAGGAGGCCTGTTTCGGCAAACCGATCTCATTCGTTCGATCAACAATACCACCTAAGATGAACGTTTCATCACCTTTGATCTAAAATCACTTTCACTATTATTATGCTTACTGTAATACTAATATGATTATTTTAAGCAAAGTTATTACTAATATCAGTGTGTTCATGGTTATAATACTTATACGATTACTACGGTCATCACTTTAGAAGTTACATGAATGCCATTATCCATCATCATTACGATAATTGCTGCAAACATGAAGAAAACCATTTGCTTAATTATTATCACACTTGCAA